AAGAGAAGGACTCTGACAAAAAATAAAAGAAAAATAATCAGGTTCGCAGCAAGGTTGGAATCGAATCTGCACTTTTTCTCGTATAGAATATGCGTATATCGTATAGAATATACTACGCTAATGTTTGAAAAAGCTCTCGTAGAACAGTCCCTTCATAACACCCCACTCACATTTGCCTCAACGCCAAAACTAAGAAAATACATTACTGAGGGATAGAACCAAATCTCCGAAATCCAGAAAAGTTTGAACGCTTACCTCTAGGTATAGAAAGACCAATAGACTGAACACTCCAGTGCTTGCAGACATGAGAGCATAACCAAAAAATGGATTAATAGAAGTCATCAAAATAAGCCCGCATCCTGATAAAGAACCCAAGAGCGCCACACAGCATCCGGCCAGCGAATATGCACATGAGCCACTGCAACAAAAAAGGCTAAACTAGAGTGAAATGTCTAAATGAACAAGCATGGAATGCCTTGCAACACTTTGAACGGAATTTCAGAACGGCCTCTCTTATAAGCGAGGCGAAGGTGGTGTAGTGGCATGTGGCACGCTTATCACGCGGCACGAGTGTCAAAACCCGGATCGTTTCCGATCCTCTGGAGGCGGTAAACTCGTATCAGATGCGTCTGGGAGGATGAGAACACTGACTTGTACTCGTATCCTCGCAAATAACTGTATAGGCCACATTGCATTCAATGAGCCGCTACGATTCTTAATGGAAATAGGGTGCGTGCCGCACTCCAAAGGGTTGGTCCGTGACAAAGATTTCCCCTTTTTTATTTTCATTTATCTTTTATTGAACATCAATCAATTGGGCGGCTACCACTAATATCTGGGATACGGGTCTTTCGAGTGGCTTCTCGATTCTGAGCCTCCAAAAATAAGGCAACTGTGACGGGAAGAAGCGTCAATCTCGTTTTCGAGCTGATGTCGATCATCGAATTTTTCGCTTTTCAAGTGACATTTCTGCGCATTGTATAGCTGATATTCAGAAGGTTGAGGCTGTTAATAAGCTGGATGCAGCTATATTTCCAAACTAGGATCCATGATCCTTTAGTGCGCCATCGTCAACACGAATGGGAGTGCGAGGTCCTGGAGTAAGAAATCGAGCTTTATAAATGAGTTGAGCACATGATGCGACGGAAAGGACCCTTTTGACGCTCCCATCAACAATAGCTAAACCTTTTCCGTGCAGATCTACTTCTAGCTTTTACTCTTGGGAAATCCTGTGGAGCCCTCGTTCA